TGGTGCAGTGTAATGATGCTTGTGGCTGTATGTTGAACTTTACGGGGGAGAAAGTGGCTGAGAATGTGACCCACAGAGCAGGAAGGTCACGAGATGCAGAGAGCCTGGCCTCTCTCTTGGCAATGACAATGGGAGGTACTACATACCTCACTGAAAGGAAAGAGCTTGTTCTGAAGTTCCCAGGACTGCTGGGGCTGGTGGTGCTGGAATTGTGCCTGCTGGGAACCGTCACCCTTCCCAGTCAGGCCCCTTTCCAGAGCAGCCAACAGCCGGTGGCAGGTGAGCCCGGTGTGAGGTATCTTGGCCCCACTGAGGACAGCCCTGAAGGGTCATCACAGCCTCAGCACTTCCTGCCATCCTGGTTTAGCTCCTTCTTGCTACTGCATCATGGTTCAGCATCTTCTTCTGCCCCACCTTGCTCCTGTGACCATAAGACTATTCTATTAATGTCTGCAGGGATGAGAGCGCACGGCTAATTTCTTAGAAGAATGAGTCATGGGTGCATGGGGTGGAGCAGGTGGGTGAAGAAGAGGAATTGGATGAAAAAGAGGGTGGTTCTGGATGGAGTGCCAAGAGGCAGTGGGTCCAGAGCAGGGCAGGAAGAGCTTCAGGCCCACGCCTTCTGAAAAACAGCTGAGACTGACACATAGTTTGATAGCAATCTTTACACATGAAACGCATGCTGCTGGGTCCCTGTCTTCAGTTCTTAGCCTTCTATAGTCTGTCCTCACCATTTAGAATAGAACAAACCACACCACTCTCTAGCTTACAACCCTCCAAAGGCTTCTCACACACTGAACAGAACCCACAGGTGTCTTGCTATGACCCATACTGACCCTTTTCTTGCTGTTTCTTGGCTGTATCATCCCATTCAACCTCTGGCCATTTGCACCTATTTCACCTTTCACTAGGTCTTCTATAGGCTCTTCTGTGATTCCTGTCACTGTATTGTTCAACTTTGGCTTAAAGGTCATTTCCTAAGAAAGGTCTCTTTGTCCTCGGATACAGCTTCATTATTCTGTCTTGTGATCTTTGTTAGAATTCAGGGTGAGAAGACAAGATAAAGTAGAAGTGAAATCCGACCTCAACAGACACAGATAGCTTTATTAGCTGAGGGCACGCAACCTTCCCTCAGGTATGGAGGTTGTGGCATCGGGGTTAGGGGAAGTCTAGGATTTTTAGGTGGACCCAGAAAAGGGGCCATGCCTTCCCAGAGTCTCAGAAGATGGGTTCCTTCCCAGAAACCCAGAAGGCTCCTTGGGTAGTGTCTGCGCTCCTCCCTGGGATTGGGGAAGGAGAGATGGAGAGTTTGATGAGGAAACAGATCTACAAGAAGCCTGATAAGAAACCAGTTGTTCTTTGCTAGAGGCCATGTGTTCTGAAGAAGACGTATCTCTTTCTGGAGTGGGGGACTGAGTAGACAGATGGTCAGTTCCGTCAGCCATGTTAGGCTGATTTTCCTTCAATCTTTATATCCTACTTTGCTCCCTCAAATGTATTTGTATAATTGTTGATCATGTGATTTTTGTTTCCTCTCTCCCCTGCAAAGAATAGAAGTCTCAAATGGACAGAGATGTATCTGTCCTGTTCCCCACAGTAATGCCAGCTCATGTATTGATTTTGGTATATAGCAGGTGTCCACTGATGTTTTTGCTCTCTGGTGTCCACTGAGTGGAAAAACTGAATGAGCAAGGTCCTATGATGCAGCTTTAGAGTGAATGATTGGACAATACAGAAAGCAGGTTTTCCAAGTTGCAGCAGGTAGGTTCAGAGCCCTGGCCATTCCTGGACCAATGAAGGCACATCTACCACTTAGCAGGGTACCAGCCAGACACTGGGAACTTGGGGTGTGTAGTCAGACAAAGTAGGGTTAAAGTTTTGGTTTTGCCACCTCCCAGCTGGCAACAGGCCCAGAGCAAGTTACTTGACCTTGAAAATTCTGGGTTCCTTTGTATACATAAATTCAGGTTAGGTTAGAAGCTGCCCTGTGGTCATGGGCTGATGACAGGGCACTTCTGAAACCCTTGGCAAGTACACAACCCTTAGCAGGTAGCTGCCAGCTCTACAGGGTGGCTGCTCAGTTGCTTCTCCAGCATTGTGAGTCCTATCTCCATTATCAGCTCTAAGCTCCCGGGGCCACAGGACTGCAGGACTCATGTAAGAAGCAAAGGTGCAGGCATCCCTGGGTCATGCACATCCCCCGGCGTTGTTCCCCGTGAACTAACTGCTCTCCTAGGGAGCAAAAGGGACAAAGATGTATTACTGGGTTCAGAGGTGGGCGGCACGGGTTGAGTGACTAGCCAGACTGTTTTTTTCTTAACTTTCTGCTCAAACTGAAACCAGAGCTGACCTCAGCCAGAGAAGATGAGGAAATGGATGATTATGGTCTTTCCAGGACCCAAAGCTGTTACATAACTGATATCACCCTTTCCCTTGAGGGTGGGAATCTGCAGCACTGTGTGAAAGCAAAGTATACTTTGTGATGAAGGGAGTGAGCTTCCTGTGATCATGGACCCCAAAGATCATTGACTGAGCTAGACACATCTTTTGCCATGTGTGTGTAATAGTTGAGATCTGAGCTAAGCAGCCTGCCAGTGCATCACATGTTGTCCACATGACACTGCCGCTAGACAGAAGAATCATTTCACTTTAAACACCAGCAGACCAGGTTTTAGAGAAGTAGGTATCTGGTCCAAGGACTGGG